ATAATTTAAGCATATAAGAAATACATTTCATTCAATTTAAGTATAACTCATTATTAATTTCCATCCCTCCTTGTTTTTCTTTTGCAGTCGCGGTCTGACGCCTCCGCATCGAGTTAAATCCATATCGATGGCCACATTTACACAGGATGAGATCGACTTTCTGAAGGCGCACGGCAACGAGCTGTGCGCAAAGACCTGGCTGGGCCTGTGGGATCCAAAGCGAGCTGCTGCGCAGCAAGATCAGCGGGAGCTGATGATCGATAAGTACGAGAGGAAACGCTATTATCTGGAGCCGGCCAGTCCGCTCAAGTCGCTCAATCTGAAGTCGACGTCGTCGTCGTCGTCGACGTCGACCGCCAGCAATGGCTATCACACGGGCAACATATCGAGCAATGGCTATGCCAGCATCCACCTAACGCCGCCCGCCGCCCAGCGCACAGCAGCCAATGGCCTCAGCAAGTCGGCAGCTAGCAGCACAGCCATCAGCCGGCCGCAGCATCATCATCATCATCATCAGCATCAGAATCAGAATCACAATGGCAATCATGATGGCTTCTCGCATAATCTGGCTGGCCTTGGGCTGGGCCTGACCAGCCTGAACAGCGCCGGCTCCACGTCGACGGGCGCTTTATCCGATACGAGCAGCTGCGCCAGCAACGGCTTTGCCGGCGAATCAGATTTCGTGGCCGATTTCGGGTCGGCAAACATCTTCGATGCCACCTCGGCACGTTCCACAGGCTCGCCGGCTGTCTCCTCGACCAGCTCGGTCAGCTCCATCAATGGCTATGCCAAGGTGCAGCCCATTCGTGCGGCGCACCTCCAACAGCAGCAGCAGCAGCAGCAGCAAATGCTCAACGGCAACAGCACTGGATCAGAGAACTTTGCGGATTTCGAGCATGCGCCCATCTATAATGGCGTGGCTGATGGTAAGTCTCCGAATTGCTGGCTTGCTATATGAGTGTCCTGGCAGAGGACAGGATGTTAGATGTGGGGAAAAGTAGTTGATATTGCTGCATAGACTATGAGATCCTGCTCTCTTGCTATGTAAGCTTAGTTTGCAGTCTGCTGCTTACTTATAGAAGAGACGGGAGTATTCGACTAGGAAATCCTTTGAGCCCAGCTTGTAACCTCTTATAGGAACCTCTTGGCTGAGATAGACCCTATGGCTCCCCTTTGGGAGTATTATCGTGAGTGTTGTATAACTTTATTCGGAAGTGTCCGACTTGCATTAGTATGTAACTATCAAATATGCTCTACTCTGGGAGTATTATAGTGTATGTTATATAAAAATTTAATACGCTCCGAATGTATCTTTCAATTAGCTATAAAACCAACAACTTATCAAAGCTTTTTGCTACCTTCTGATTAATCGATGTACTCTTCCTGCCTGTCACATGCTTATAGAGCTATAAATACTTTATTTCGACTATACAATTATGAGATACCCTTCCAAGTATACGACTATACTAGACGCGCCAACTCCTGATAAGCCAACTTATCAAACCTGTTGGCTTCCTTTTGTCATTGCTAGATTCCAAATACGTATCATAAAAGTTCTTCTATCTAACTGCTCCACACCTCTGCAAGCGCATTCGAAATGCGCTTTATCGTAGTTTTTGTGTCTTTATATCGTTTGTTTTGTTTCTTTTGGTATTGTTTTTGCTCCATTTGCAATCTACACCACACACTCGCCCACAAACATATTCCACACCTGCTGCTGCTGCTTCCTCGTATGCTGCACGTGACAATGCAAGCCCCCATATTTTGGCAGCTTCTCGCTTACCTCTGGCTATACGTTGAGCAATCTCCACGCAAAGTTTGCATTCGGCTTGAAAATAAAAACACACGCACACACATGTGTTGGAGTATTTAACGACAATCTCTCTATCCTTCTTGCTCGCGTTGCGCTTCCGTGCGCACCACAAACATTCGACATGCGACATGCAACATTCAACATTCTGGTTGTGCCAGCAATGAAATCCCTGCAGACGTTGCCCGATTGGTACGATTGGAAGACGTCCGACTATAGCGATCCGTTTGAGAATGAGTTTGCGGCGCTGCGATCGACCACAGAAACCAGTTCGGAAGCGGAGCCGGAGTCGACGCTGCCCGCCTACTCGATGCTGACGCTCTGGAGCGATGATAGCTGGCCAGAGAAGCAGTCGGCCGTGCGCTTTAAGAGTTCGGCCACCTCACTGGAGTCGGTCCAGTCTGCCCAGTCGGCAGGGGGAACAGCAACAACAACGTCAGCATCGTCAGCGATGTGCTGCTCCAGCAATGAATCCTTGCCAACGCCCACTAATCCCTTTCTGCCTCAGTCGAAGTCGGAGTCGGCATTTAGTCGGGCATTAAGCGCCCTGAATATCGCTGAGGAAGCAGAGAAAACAAAAGCAATAGCAGCAACAGCAGCAGAGCATACAGAGTGCGACTCGAATGCGAATATCTTAAATGCCTATTACAATCCTTTCTTTACGTGGAGTAAGTTTTTCGTTAACTCTCGTTTCGTTGAGTTCCTTTTGGTTGAGTTTGAATTTGAGTTTTCTATTTGTTCTGGCTTCTTGTTGATGTTGTTGTTGTTGTTGTTACTGCTGTTGCTCGCATCTTGTGTTGGGTCCTTGACTTTAGTTTGCTTAGCTCACATCCAGGAGCTTGTCTCGGTAATACGCTCATTGTTTGATCTCTCTTGCAGGCACCGCGCTGCAGAGCCAACAGCTGAACCAGGCGACAAGCAAGCCCAGCCCCCGGGCAAGCAATGCGCCCAGCGAGGACCGCTACGCGGCGCTGAAGGACCTCGACGAGCAACTGCGCGAACTGAAGGCCAGCGAGGCAGCCACAGTCACGGAGGCGCCAACGCCAACCAATGGCAACACACAGCTGGCGGATGCCTTTGGCACGGGTGAGTGGCAGCAGCTGCAACTGAAACCACATCAGAAACTTATCCATCTCTCTTTCTTTATTCTGTCACAGTCAACGGCAACAGCAGCAGCAGCAACAACAACAACAGCAACAACAACCATGTAAATCCCTTCAAGAGCCAGCAGTCGCTGCTCATCAACGGCAGCAGCCACTTGGTGAATCCATTCCAGGCACAGCAGCTGCAACAGCAGCAATTGCTATTGCAACAGCAGCAGCAGCAGCAGCAGCAGAATCTCTACGGCCAGCTGACGCTCTTACCAAATGGCTATGGCAGCAGCCCACAGCAGGCGGCGGCGGCGGCAGCGGCAGCAGCGGCTGCCACCAGCTTCTACAATTTCAACAACAACGGCTTTGCCTTGGCCCAGGGCCTGCCCAATGGCTGCGGCTTTGGCAGCATGCAACCAGCGCCCGTGCTTGCGGGCGGCCTCGCCGGCGGCTTTAATAACCCATTTGCGGTAGGTTGTTGAGCAAAAGTCAAACTCTAGTC